GAGCAGGTCACCTGCCCGTTGGCGCCAGAGTCACGGTCGGACACGCTAATCAGGGCGATGACAGTGCCCACCTGAGTATCCTCTCTCACGGGGAGCGACAGCGAAGTGATCATTACCTCAGGGGTATTGTCATTCAGATCCAGAACTTCCACTAGGACTGTACAGTGACCTGCCATGGAAGGAATCCCTTTATCAATGGCGTTAACCTGAATTTCATACTCAATATTCTCTTCAAAATCCAATTTCCCGTAAATTCTGATTTCACCTGTTTCTGGATTTATTGAAAACATACATTTCTCACTCACTGGCAAAATCAGTCTGATTCCATAGGAAATTTCTCTATTCAGCCCTTCGTCTAGATCAGAAGCGTTTAGCTGTATCACTCTCGTACCGTTTGGGACATTTTCAAACAGCACTACTTTATAGCCAGGCTTGTCAAACTGCGGAGCGTTGTCATTCACATCCAAAATGCTTATTTTAATCTGAACAGATCCTGTTAGCTCGGGCTTACCGCCATCCTGGGAGGTCAGCAATATATTAAGTTGTGGAGTTTCCTCTCTATCCAATGACTTCCGTAGAACTAGTTCAGGCAATATACTTTTATCGTTTTTCGTTATTATTTTAAGAGTAAAATACTCATTTAGACCTAACCTATAGGTCAGAAGAGAGTTTACGCCTATATCCGCATCGGAAGCGCCCTCTAGAGGAAAATGAGAATCCAGCGGTGCAGATTCAGAAATCAGTACCTTTTGTTCTTCTTCTCTGAACACTGGTGGGTTATCGTTAATATCCTTCACCTCCACCTCCACGTGGAAAACCTGAAGCGGCCTGTCCACGATCACCTCCAGGTGGATGCTACACTCCAGGCTCCGCCCGCACAGCTCCTCCCGGTCGATCCGAGAATTCACAAACAGAATGCCATTCTGCAGATTTACTTCCAGAAGGTCCCGGCGGCCTTTGGACGCCACCCGGAACAGGCGTGGCACCAGCTCCGCCAGCTCCAGCCCCAAGTCCTGGGCGATGCGGCCCACGAAGGTGCCGTGTTTGGCCTCTTCCGGGACCGAGTAGTGGACCTGGCAGCTCCCGGATTCCCCAGCTGCAAGGAGCAGAAGCGACAGCAGCAGTCGCGGGGCTCCTGGGCCTCCTCTCCGGGAAAACACCATTGTAGTTAACAAGATCTATGAGGTGGGTCTGTTAGATTTAAGGGATCGCTCACCTGAGAATCTTTATAAGCAGTCTCCCTTTCTGTAGGTGTATATATAGTAAAATTTACCCAGCCTTCCGGTCAACATGGAGTCGATCTTATTCAGCCAATGGATGAACTCTGGGCGCGGAGACAAAATTTTTCCGTTTCACCTTTTGAGTGTACAGCGACATCATGTGACTGATTATGTAAGTACAAGAAAGATCCGGAGGTTCTTTTTGGTTTAGCCACTTCCTGGGACACTTGAATAAAATTTTTTGACTTTTGGATATTTTCATGAATTTTTTGTAAATGCCTATTTTTTTAATGTATATGATATTAGTAACAAAGCAGTCATTTCTATTATACTTAAGTTTTTAAAATATTCTGCTTCAAAGTCCATCATAAAATAATCATTGAAATACAGAATGCCAGAATATTGCCTATCATGGAGAATAAAATAAAGAATAATATACATCACCTTCAACCTTATTTTGCTTACAATGCACACTTGTATAATGACTTTTATCCTTCACAAGCCTTCATTGTAGGACTTTAGGAGAAACCCAAGAATTCCTGCACTTAGTAAAGAAAAAAAAACTAAAGTAGTTCTATTAACTGAACTTTTCATTCATATAAATTATTTTATTCATACTTCTGTTGGATATAAATATTCATCATAAATATGGAACATGTCGGTTTTTTGTTTCCTTGATGCTCAGATGTGATGACTTTTCATACAACTGCTCTTATTCCCATAACATATTAAAATGAGGCTTGGGGGGGCGCCTGGGTGGCTCAGATGGTTAAGCGTCTGCCTTCAGCCCAGGTCATGATCCCAGGATCCTGGGATCGAGTCCCGCATTGGGCTCCCTGCTCCTTGGGAGGCTGCTTCTCCCTCTGCTTCTCTCTCTCTCTTTCCCTCTCTCTCTCCCTCTGTCTCATGAATAAATAAATAAAATCTTTTAAAAAAGTGAGGCTTGGGTACAGATCCTGTAAGGTTTCATTCTAGCAGGAGGAAAGAATATTCATGTAAAATATTGAATCAAAGCCTCCAAATTTCACAATATTCTAAAGTGGCTGTGGAGCCATAATATGAAAAAGATCTGTGAGATGTTTGGGAGCCCAGTCTCTCTGACTAAAATCAAAAGAATATAAACTTCATAATGAACTTTTGGTTTCTCTTTAAATGTTCCCTTCAGGCCAGTTAGTAGTCATTCAAAATCTGCTTCTCTTCAGAAAATCAGAATGGTGACTATGATGCAAAGGATAATCAAAGGACTTTTCCTAATTTTATTGGTTAATTCAAGATCAGCTTTAAGGGAAAACAAAACACAGATAAGATCCCACAGTTAATTGTGAAAAATTTAATACAGAGTTTATAAGCTCATTAAAATTCAAGTCAAAATCTTTAAGCCAACAATTTGTCACCATTCCTTTTACATATAATGAAGGGAAGTGAGATAAGAAATCTTTATAGAACCAGGAAATAATAATCAATAATCGTTCTACAAGTAAGAGATAACTTAAGTCAACTACAAAACTGGCTCTTAAGTAATCAAAAAAATTTTGAATTTTGATGCTATTGGACTATTTAAATTGTCTAACATCACTACCATGTTTCTTCGTTTTCTATCTTCCATTTTCAAAACTAGTCAATGTACAATGATTGCTAAGAAACTTTATTGAAAAAGTAGTGTGTTATGTAGTCCTCATACACTGTTAGACATAATTAAATTACTAAAGAGATAGGAACATCTAAAATTAGCTTAATACTTAAACAATTGAACTAGAAGATGGAAATTATATTGAAATTATAATTTTACACCACTGAAAGTAGTCCTGAAATTAAGAATAAATATAAAAGACACAAAATTTGTAAAAATAGCCCATATAATTTGTAATTATCTAAAAATGTGCATCAACTACTTATGTACTGTAAAAGTAATAATTTGCAAAAATTTAACATGGACTTAAAATATTCCAATATCTTTGTTTATTAAATTTAGCTAACATTAAGTCATTCTAAGAACTTCACTTAGAGATTTATAATAATGTGTGCCCTACCTAACATTCACATTTATACATTTACAGTTTCATAAGTGATACAATGGCTTAATCTTTTAAGTCAGAAACATTTTGTGTTTTAATTTGGTTACCTATTATAGAATAAAGAAATTTTAACCCCTAAGGCTAAAGGGGAGCATAGCCATATATGAATTTCATCAAATTCTCAAAGAAATCAGTGACTCTGCCACCCTACATATAGCTAAGGATCACTGAATTAGAAGAATAACCTAAGGGTAAATGAACTTTGGTAGAATCATCCGATGTGATTATAGCACATGAAAAGAAAATTTCACAAACACTAGAGATAAAGCATTTAAAGACAGGACATTTAAGTTGCCAGATGAGCGAAAATGATAATTTTCACTTCACTTTAATAGACAACATAGGGCAGACTGCCAACCAGCATATGTTGCAGATATTATAAGCCTATATGCATGTCTTCATCAAGTTTGAAGACTTGATTGAGTGCTTTGAATAACTTTATTTGCCTAGTAAACTTTGTAAGCATAAATCTTGGAGTTCTGTTTGACTATATTGTAGATAAATCTGTACCCATTACATGAAATAAAATAAATCGACAGAACTTTTAAGTTCTATTATTTCAATGAAACCACCACACAATAATGCAAGACTGAATTTTTAACTGCAAATAATATGAAAACAGGTTTTATCTTACCAGTTGAGGCAAAATAAAGATTATTTAATGGAAAAGAAATGTACGATCCATGTTTAACACTACAGAGAAAGTTAAACCTTTTCAGACTTAATGAAGAGAGTGTTCAATCTTTGATACAAGCCTGAAGTGAGAAAAGTCAAGATATCTAATAATGTGAAAATATTAAAGCAAAAAGCTGTGTTAAAAGACAAAGAGGATGAAAAAATGGAAATAACCACAGTAATTATCTACAGTAGTGAGGATTAGAGATGAAATAAGTGGTCTGGCTACATCACTGAAACTTAGAAATTATATCTAATAAAGTGCTGACAGGAGAGTCATTCTTATAGCTTCCTTTAACATTTTCTACCAAAACATTTGGAGACATAGGACAGTTATTGGCTAAAAAACCTGATTTATCTCATTATTAAAATTGGATTTTTATCAGTTGGCATTTCACTAACAGAAATTGTTCTCTAAAACATATTCGTTTAAAACTTAATACTTAAAATACAGAGTATTCATTAAATTTTTCTATGAAATAAAGCGGATTTTAAAAATTTAACATAGACTTTAAAAGAAGAGGAATCTATAGAACCCACCTGCCCAGGGTGATTTGATCCTGCCTCCTGCATTTTCCCTCCAACTTCTCTATCCAGACACGGAGGAAGGCTGGGGCTGAAGGCCATGAGGTCGGTCTTGG